GACTGAAAAGGCCACATCAGATTTGAAGGGCAAAGTTGTTGCTTCCTCATGTCTCCCTTCCAGCTGAAAATGCTGGGCATTAGTGGGAGCTCCACTGGTTTTATCGAAGTCATATTTTGAAAAATCGATTGTTTCTGGTCACCTGCTGCTTTAGTGAAAGGATCTATTTATGTTATTCAATCACTGAAGCAAGCCCTTCTGTGTGTAGACCGAGCTCAATAGCTTTACCAATCACTCAGCCCTGCTTCTGTCTTTTGCTTTCCTTATGCAGTGAACATGTAAACGCTCACAACATGTGTATGAAAAGTCTACACATCCATGTTAGAAAGTAAGGATCCACTAATTGAAAACCTTTTCCACCTTTAATGTCACAAATAATCTGAACAATGTAAATGAAATGAAATGAAATGCAATGTCATGCAATAACAAATCTAGCAGTTTGAGTAAAGAATAACTAACCCACATACATGTACAGAAACTGTCTTACAAGCACTCACTGCTCACTTGGCAACATTTACCTACTCTAGCTTTGAAAAAGTTTCCAAATCAGATTGTGACCGACTGTGGACAGAAGATGTTCACATAGTTTCTGTCAGGACTCTGGCAAACCCATTCTACAACACGAGGTTTCTTCTACTTGTACTCGCAATGCTGCAGAAAAAAATAAAAAATGGATTTATTTCACAGAAGCATAATGCTGCCACCACCAATGTAGTGCTTAGCACTTTTTCAAGTGTACCTTTTAGAAGAGTGGCTAAAAAAATAATGTTTGTTTTTTGTCAGCTTATGACACATTTTCAAGGTTGTTTGAGATTTTAACCAGACCTGTTTTGCACACATTTGCTTTTGCAAAATGTTAAATATTTACTGGGTTTCTCAATTGTTGACTCTGTGGTGTCTTTTATGACTTTTCATTTTTGTGTTTTTATGATGTAAAACACTTTGAACAGCCTTGCTGCTGAAATGTGCTTTACAAATAAACTTGATTGACTGATGTTTGAGTGATTGACTGATTGTCCAGATGTGTGGAAAGCACAGAAGGTTGCTGTGCTTGATCTTGATCTTTCTGCAGCTCCTTCAGTGTTGGCTTCGTTGTGCTCCTCTGACAGTTTTGGAGAAATGTCAAGTTTTTGTAGTTTCTCTGTGGTCTTCAGTCTTTGCATAAAAACATCTAAATAATTCTTCTGTTGAATCATACACAATATGTAACATCAAAGGTGGAAAAAAGATTTTAAATAAGTTATGAGGATTTTTATTTTTTTTTACTCGCACGTCAATCACTTTTAGCCATCAGGAATGTGTACACTTTTTGGACGCACTGTATATAAGAACGCAACGTATTTAAGAGTTGTTGTTTTTTTTCCTTATGCTCATTGGTAATTATATATGCAACATTTTTGTGGTCAGATTTCTTTAATAATTCTAACACAGACGGGCGTGTTGATGCGGGCAGGCAAGGACACGCTTGGCGCCGCTAATGCAACAGTTATGTCTTTATTCCCATAAGAAAAATCTACCTTCATGAGCCTCCAGCTATGAAGTCAGAGCACAGAGAACATTTTCTGCCTGCAGACTGGAAACGATAACACGGCAAGAGGGCAAACTTCAGCAAGCTAAACCTGGTCTCTATGCAGCCGCAACCCTTTCATGTCATTAGGGTTGCACTATCTGGGGCATGACCGCACACAGTTGTTGAACACACAGCAATAATTAAGAGCCTCGTGTTTGTATTTGTTCACTCAGTTTTTTAATCTCAAATATTCAGCTCACAATTAATGTTTTCTTTTCATCAAAGGAAAATGGTGAAACAAGGAAACCTGGTCAGAATGAAGTTGACATGATGAAGTGCAATAGGAGTTCCACTGACCCACAGGGATGATGGGAAGTATATTGCCACGCTGCAATCAAATGGTTAATTGTTGCAAGATTTGAAACTATAAGTTTCCTCTGTCGGAAACAAATGCTAATAGGAGCCACACTGATTCTCTGACAGTCTAATCCTCACATCTGTTCTGTTCAGGACTGAGCAGAGATTTCCCTGCTGCTTTTACTGCCTCAAAGACTCTGAACATGAACAAACACACGTCACCGAGTTGTTTAGCATTTATAACTTCATACTGGCTTTATCTTCACCTTGGTTGACCATGTTCGGCCTTACTTTATCGCATCTTTTTTCTGCTTTGAGCAGAAACCTTTGCTCAATCATTGACAAAGTCTCTTCACCTTAAACAGTGTGAACTACATGTTCTTTCACATTGTGGCATATTTTACAAACATCAAAACATACTTAATATTTTCTTTTTCAGCCTATAAACAATTTTCTAAAAAAAAAACCCTAACCAGTTTACAAAGAAGTAAAAAAAAAAAAAAACTGACCGGTAATCAGACCATTTATTGTTATATTTAATAATTGAATTAGAAAGCTTTAAAGTCAAACACTTGTGCAGAGTTTTGAAACATCTTGCATTTATTGCCCTTAAAATAAAAGATAAAATCATAAAGAGGGTCTCTGTGGAATAATTGTTATCATTTTTGAGCGAGTTTCAGTGTTTTCTCTTATGACAACACAAAATGTAAATGATTGCAGGTTTATTTTATGTAAATTATATTGTCCTAATCCTGATCAGACGCAGAGTTTTGCCACTGTTGCCTTATAGTCAGAAAGTTGTTGGTTTGAATCCTAGTCACTTCTGTTCTGTGCAGAGTTTGCATGTTTTCCCTCAGAGTTTTTCCAGGTACTCTTAACTTTCACCCACAGTACAAAAAACTGCTTTCTAACTTAATTGAAGACAGACATCGAGAACTCCATCCACAATCACACTAAATGGGGATCGGATACTTGCATGAACCTCCAGCAGATTTACTGCGGGGTTCACGCTGCACGGTCTCTTTGCTGACCACTACAGTTATTTTATTCTCTCATAGTGTGGATGCCCTCAAACACATGAAGTATTCATAACAGCAGAAAACCTGCCAACAAAGACAGTTACTAGCTATCCTCAACAGCTACACAAAACAGACCGATATCTCAGCACAGCTCTTGAATCATACCTGCTTTTTGAAGAAATCCAGTAATAAATGAAAATAACGGGATTCATTTGACACCAGCTTAACTTTGCTGGTCCAAATTTGCGCTGTTTCAGCGTAGTTTGTGTGTGCGGTTTGCCTGTTCTCTCTGTGGATGTGTGGATTTTCTCTGTGAAGGCTTCCCACATGTTTGGTTATCTGGCGATTATAAATGGATCTCAGGAGGAAGTGTGAGCGTCCTGGGCTGTGTGTCTCTGTGATGGACTAATGGCCTGTCCAGAGCGTAAACCTGAATGATGGGGCTGTCCCCCTGTGACTCTGGAAAAGCTGCTACACAGAGATTATGCACCATAGCAGCGAGGTAGTGAGCACTGTTGTCTCCGAACTGTGCACTTGCGTAGATGTTCTTCAGACTCTCCAGAGTCTTCGATTTCTGAAGTTTTGTTCTGGTGTTGTTCACCTAAAATAAATTCCTTAAACTCGTCTGAGGCTGATTGAGTAGAACAATTCCCCAAATGACTGAAAAGTCTAAGACAAGGATCCAAATTACTTCAGTTAAATATTTCAGAATTTCTCTTTAAATTTGCAGAAAAGTGTCCAGAACAAAAGTCTTTATTTTAGTATTTTCCTGCCGATAACAAGTAGGAACTGCTCTCCTTTTAAACAGTTCTTGATGCATAAGGAGCCAGCATCACATCGTTTTGGGCTGTTTTCCCTGCAACAGCTGCATGCTTACCTGCAGCCAATTCAGAGGACGGTGTTACAGTTCGGCCACACTCCGAAGGCGAACAAGCAGCAATGGAGCAACCATAAAAACAAGACGGCACAAGAGAAAGGAATGCAGCTCAACCGGACTTTCAACAAAGCAAGCTCTAAGAGGGCCTGACGCGGAGGTGCCTTCGGACTGTAACGAAACTAAAGAAACACGCAGACGCACAGAGGCACTGTGTGAACAAAACGTCAGATTGTTAGAGAAGAGCGTAAATTCTAGCCGACAAGCACGTGTTGACAGGTTTATTAAAGTATTTGCACAAACAGAACAGGCACACAGCTGCAGAAAGAGACAGTGACACACACATTCGACATCTTGCTGTATAAAGCACAATAGTCCGAACGGATACGTCTTTGCCCTATACAAACATGTGCCTGCATCTCAGAAAGCATGCACTGTACTGGATCTAGGTAATTGGATCTAAGGACAACATGTCGACACTGGCACCCAATCAAACGTTTTTTTTATGTTTTCAATGTCACTGCCAGAATTAAATCCTGCAGCAAAATAAATCAGAAGCTCCTTTTGCGTGTGTGCACAAAGACACGTGTTATGAGGAAACAAGAAAGCAGCAATGCCAACTTTCAGGTACTGGTGTGCTATAGTCATAAAAACACAAGACATCAAAATGAAATTCCATTTTAGTGATCAGCAAGAATGCATGGCTTTAAATGGACAACACAGAATTCCCTAAAGAGACACAAATCACAGTGCTGAGCTGCTCATTCGCCATTCAGAGAAGTAACTGTCTTTAACTTCCTGTCCTTTATGTCCGTGGATGCTTTATGTTTTATCTTTTCCGCTGTTGTGGGAGCTTTTTGTCTCTCAAACACACAAACCCACGCCCACTCAGAGAGAGAGAGAGAGACAGAGAGAGAGAGAGAGAGAGAGAGAGGAACATCTCTCACTGTTTGGATCCTGAAGGAAAGTTGCAGAAACAGAAGTTTAAACTTACCTCCTCCAGACAGAAGTTTAACATTTGCAAATACAAAAGAAGATGGAGAAGGCCAAAGAGGTGAAGAGGAAAGAAAAGCGTCTGAATGAAGGACGGGGGAAGGGATAAAAGGTAACTAAAGGAATAAAAGTTTTTCATTTTTGGAAAATGAGGGGAAAATGTGTTTCTTTGTACATTTGTTCTAGTTGTTGAAAAACATTTAGGCAAGAAAAATGATGCTGAAGGGGAGAGGAGAGGAGACCCTACCTGGAGCTGTTCGGACAACGTGGTGGACTGCCTGGTGCCCAGAGCCGGGGCTGAACTTTCCTCGGGACGCAGAAACACTTGCTGCCCACGTCTGCAGAGATAAAGAATGATGGTCAGGACCACTTTGTACCTATGTTTTTTGTGTGGGTTCTCTTTCTTCACAAGTTTAAAGTCAGCTGGAGGATGTCTTGTTGATAAGTCGGATTGCCGGCAACTTATCTTGTCCGAGAAGTGGAGGGAGGAATGTGAAGGTGTGAAGGAATCTGTGTGAAATGTGTGCATGTGTGTGTGAAGCCCTTACAGGTCCTTTGCTTTCTTCCTCTCGAGCGCAGTCATGTCATCTCCACCTGTCGCAACGCAGAGAGAGCGCCGGAGTCACACACACATCCACACACACACAGCTCCACAGCAATGCACTCACTCGCGCCGGCAGGCTGAGACACACACTGGTGTGCGAACACCATGAGCGGCAACACATAGAGCCGATAGTGAAGGCAGTCCCTCCTCCTCCTCCTCTTCTCTCCTCCCACCTCTCTCTCTCTCTGTGTCTGTCTCACTGCTCCTCCTCTGGGTCTTACTGCCTCCCTATGCTTCACCTCCTCACTGTGAGGACACACGGTGCTTTGTAAAAAATAAAAATAAAAAAATAAAAAATCACATTTTGTCAGCTTGAAATCACAAACTTCAGAGAATTTAAATAAGATTTTAAGTGATAGACCAACACAAAGAAAATTATATATATGAATTTTCAACTGTTTTTAAAAGCATCTGAATAGTGTGGCATGCATTTAGATTTGTTGTCGGTCATGTGCAGTTGAGCGACAACATGAAAACTATTGCAGTAGCTGTAGCCATACCTAACTGTGTGTTGGTCTTTTGCAGAAAACACAAATATATTGAAGTTTGATGTTGTAAAATAAGAGGTATTACTATTCTTGCAAATTCAAGATTCTTTAGTTTTCCCAAGGAAGCAATTTAGTCATAAATAAGAACATAATAACCTGCATCAACATAGCTATAAAAAAAAATAAAAAATCACAAGACTGATCACAGAAGGGATAAATGAGTTTTCCGTTCTATCAGTCCTGGATTTCTGCCTCAGATATCTGGCTGTTGTGGATCAATGAGATTACAAAAAGAGATTCTGTGTGAACCCTAACAAAAATCACAAGATTAGAATGAGCAAATGATCTCTCTCCATGGAAAGTAAGTAGAAGCATAACTTTTGCCACACTAGTTCTCACCCACATCCACTTCCACATCCGGTTATTTCCAAGGTGTTTTCAACCTAGTTTGTAATTTGAGTCGGAGAATGAAGTTGTGTCTTGTCGGCTCCTTTTGATGATGAACAGATCACAGTTGTTGCACACCACTGATGCATTCATGACGGCTCGTATTCTAAACGTGATGTCAAAGACCCGAGGAAATGCAAGTTAAGAGGAGCTACACGCTGTGACGGGTGAAGATTTGATATCATCCACATTTGGGAAACCACAACTTTTGGCTGTGAAAAAAAATTATGCATATGTTTTTTTTTTTTTTTTTTTTTTTTTTTTTTTTTTTTTTTTTTT